ATTAACCACTTGCCCTCCTGAGGATTTACCCCCCTTAATGACCAGGCCTCTTTTTGCTACTCGGCACTGCACTAATTCAATTGATAATTGCGCGATCATGCTGCACCACCCAAACGAAATTTACATCCTTTTATTCACACAAATAGAGCTTTCTTTCGGTGGTATTTGATCACCTGTGCGCTTTTTATTTTTCATGCTATAAACAAAAAAAGACCAAAAATTTTGAAGAAAAACGATATTTTTTAGTTTCAGCTATAAAAAATATATAGTAAACTCAAAGTTATTTATAAATTTAGGCCAAAATGTATTCTGCTACATGTTTTTGGTAAAAAAATCCCAATAAGTGTATATTGCTTTGTGTGAAAGTTATAGCGTCTACAAACTATGGTATAGATACTGCAATTTACGCCATTTTTTTGCTATACAGCGCTGTACTAGTTTAACGGACAATTGCGCGGTCATGCAATATGGTACATAAATGAAATTTATGTCTTTTTTTTCACACAAATAGTGCTTTCTTTTGGTGGTATTTGATCGTCTGTGCGTTTTTTATTTTTTGCGCTATAAAAAAAAAAGGCTGACAATTTTGAGAAAAAAAAAAAACAATATTTTGGACTTTTTGCTATAAAACATGTCCAGTAAAAAGAAAATGTAAAAATCAAATTTCATCATAAATTTCGGCCAAAATGCATTCTGCGACATGTCTTTGCTAAAAAAAAAAAAACCCAATACATGTAAATTAATTGGTTTACGTGAAAGTTATAGCGTTTACAAATGGCGGGAAAGATACTGGGATTTTTTTTTTTTATACTAATAATGGCAGTGATCAGCGACTTATGGCGGCGATCAGAGACTTATGGCGGCGATCAGCGACTTATGGCGGGACTGCGGCGGACATTCTGACACTGGGGGGGAAATGACTTGGGGTCACTGACATCTCTAATGACACCAATACAGTGATCAGTGCAAAAAAAACACTGACACTGTACTAATGTCACTGGGGAGGAAGGGGTTAACTTTTTTATTTACTGAAAGGGGTAACTGTCTGAGGGGAGTGTTTTACTGGGGGGGGGGGGGGGTAATGACCGACCATGACTCGGCGACTGACATCCGCGGCCGTGACGAGTAGGGCGGTGTGTCTTGGCCGCAGCTTCAAGACCACACAGGCAATGTAGAACCACAAGTCCCAGCAGTGCACAAAGCAAAGCACAGTTCAATGCATCTCCTAGCAAAGGCTGCCTGCAGCCATGAGCTGCTCTCTCTATCCTGACTCAAAACTCAGCCCATTCTCCCCCTCATAGGGACATTATGGTCCTTTCAATTTGACCAAGCCCCAAGCCCCTGGTGCTGACACGTCTGACTTTTCACAGCCACAGGACACCATGCTGTCTGGGCCCCCTGCCAAGATCGACCTCATCTCCGACCCCCTGCGGGGCACAGGACCTCCTAGCTTTAAAGAGCAGACAGGCTGACTGTTGGCCACATGTGTGGAGTTCAACAAAACAACACAAAAATAAAATTATTTATAGTATAAACCTTGAAGAATGATTTAAATCATAAGAGACATGTCAGGATATACTGTATGTTCTTCATGTTTTTACTTGTATTATATCCACAAATACATTTGGCCATTTCCAACTGTTTGTTGCAGGGTTCTGGCTAGGGGTTGGGGACATGGATCAATGATTCCTGTGATAATGGCACTTCTCGGGCACTTGTAGGAAAACACATAGCTTGAGATATCTGATGGATCCATCTCTAAAGGACCTTATAATTTAAGCAATAATCTTAAATATGATTTCAACAAGTTGACAACTGAGCAGCATATGGGGTAGCACCTTTATAATAACCTCAGAAAGTCACTGTCCAGGGAGTTCCTAAATTGGCATGCAGGAAATCAAATAATCACCAATTGTTTTCTAGTGCTAAATACAGAGATAAGCAAGTACCATTATAAAATATACAGTAAATGTGTATTGATTAATGTATTTAGTATGAAGGAACTCCTAGAGCAGTAGAATGTTTTCCAAACATCCAGCCATTGGCTAACCACTCATTACTGGGAATTGCAGGTGGTTGTCTAACTCCAAAGTAAATGGAGACGTGGCAGTCCTGGAGTGACCTAGAAGAAGTATACAATGAAAACATCATAACATGGAAAATTATAAACGCTCTATTTTCTCTTTGTAAAAATGTACAGAGAAGTTCCTTGTAAAATGCTATGCCCTAAACCCAATAAGTAAAAAAAAAATACAAGGCATTCAATGCTTTTCAGTTGATGCTAATACAGCGCAAATGCCACTGATTTTGCACAAGGTAGGGATTTCTGTCATTTCTACCGCTTGTGATCAGGTTTCAATACTTGTTAGTAAATGTGAAAAAAAGTACTGGCATTGATTTTTTAAGGATCCCAGTGCAAACTGTGACTAGTTGCAAAGGAGTTTGTGATCAATGTCATGAGGACAGGGACCTTATAATACATCAGAAAGCAGGTGATCTTTTTTCAGAAGTGGCAATTTTTAACAAAAGCACCTTATTAAGTATTTGTGTAAATCCCCCTATGACCTTAGTATAGAGCTTATGCATTTCTTTGAAAGTAATAGCACAGTAGAACCTTCTTAAAGTGTACACCCCAACAATGAACTTCTGTTATTTGCTCCAATTTGGCCTGTAAAAAGCACTACTAACCACTTGCCCTCCTGAGGATTTACCCCCCTTCCTGACCAGGCCTCTTTTTGCTACTCGGCGCTGCACTAATTCAAGTGATAATTGCGTGGTCACGCAATGCTGCACCCAAACAAAATTTACGTCCTTTTTTTTCACGCAAATAGAGCTTTCTTTCGGTGGTATTTGATCACCTGTGTGCTTTTTATTTTTCACGCTATAAACAAAAAAAGACCAAAAATTTTGAAGAAAAATGATATTTTTTAATTTCAGCAATAAAAAATATATAGTAAACTCAAAGTTAGTTATAAATTTAGGCCAAAATGTATTCTGCTCCATGTTTTTGGTAAAAAAAATCCCAATAAGTGTATATTGATTGTTTTGTGTGAAAGTTATAGCGTCTACAAACTATGGTATAGATACTGCAATTTACGCCATGTACGCAATGTACAGCGCTGCGCTAGTTTAATGGACAATTGCGCGGTCATGCAATGCCGTACATAAATTAAATTTACATCTTTTTTTTCCCACAAATTGAGCTTTCTTTTGGTGGTGTTTGATTGCCTGGTTTGATTTGGTTTTTATTTTTTGTGCTATAAAAAAAAAGGCCCGACAATTTTGAGAAAAAAAACAATATTTTGGACTTTTTGCTATAAAACATGTCCAGTAAAAAAAAATTTAAAAATCAAATTTAGTCATAAATTTCTGCCAAAATGTATTCTATGACATGTCTTTGCTTAAAAAAATTCCCAATACGTGTAAATTACATGGCTTACGTGAAAGTTATAGCCTCTACAAATGGCAGGAACGATACTGGGATTTTGTTTTTTATTATACTAATAATGGCGGCAATCAGCGACTTATGGCGGTGATCATCGATTGATGACAGTGATCAGCGACTTATGATGGGACTGCAGTGGATATTTTGACACTGGGGGGGGGGAACTGACTTGGGGTCACTGACATCCCCAGTGAAACCAATACAGTGATCAGTGCAAAAAAAAAAACACTGACACTGTACTAATGGCACTGGGGAGGAAGTGGTTAACTTTTATTAGGTAACGAAATGGTTAACTGTGTGAGGGGAGTGTTTTACTAGGGGGAGGGGGTGTGTGCTTCACAAGAACACGCTGATCCCGAGAGAGAAAGTTTTCTCTCAGGTTCAGTGTGCTCTGAACTGACAGATAGCAGAGCTGCAATGTAAACAATGCAGCCGTGCTATCTGTCAGTGATTACTTGTAATCACCGGAGATGGGCACCCGCTGCCACGATCGGCGGGACGGGTGTGCGCGACAGCGATGTTAAAAGACGGCGCTATGCGTATAGGTGCCACCCTGCCTCAGTAAAAACACTGCGGTGGGTCGGCAAGCGGTTAATAATAAAAGCAATTTGTTATATCTGTTTGATAAATTGAAAGAATAACCTGATAATGATGACAGAAATTCAGAGTTGTCCTGTGCTCACTTCCTATGTTGTGTCAAGGGGTCTAGACAGCCCTCCCTGTCCATATCTTGGGACTATTGATGGATTAATCTTTAAATTATTAAGATGGGCTGTGGGTGGGCCTGAGTAGTTTCGTAAGGGAAAACTGGGCAGAGCTGACAACACTCAGCCCACAAAAATGTGTGTTTCAGCCAATGATATGACTTAAGCAGGTCATAGATTACTAATTTTTTTCATCGACCAGCTAGTGGGCTTATTGAAAATAAAATGGATTCCTCCATCTAGGACAGTGGTTCTCAACCTTCCTAATACCGCGACCCTTTAATACAGTTTCTCATGTTGTGGTGACTCCCAACCATAAAATTATTTTCGTTGCTACTTCATAACTGTAATTTTGCAGTGGGAGGAGTAGTGCCACATCATTGGTGTCAGTGGGAGGAGCAGTGCCACATCACTGATGTCAGTGAGAAGAATAGTGCCCCATTGTAGGTATCAGTGGGAGGAATAATGCCACATCATTGGTATCAGTGGAAGGAATAGTGCCCCATCATTGGTGTCAGTGTGGGAGGAATAGTGCCCCATCATTGGTGTCAGTGGGGGGGGAATAGTGCCCCTTCATTGGTGTCTGTGGGGGGGGGGGATAGTGCCCCATCATTGTTGTTAGTGGGGGGGGGAATAGTGCCCCATCGTTAGTGTCAGTGGGGGGAGGAATAGTGCCCCATTGTTGGTGTCAGTGGGGGAGGAATAGCGCCCCATCATTGGTGTCAGTGGGGGAGGAATAATGTCCCATCGTTGGTGTCAGTGGGGGGGAAATAGTGCCCCATCATTGGAGTCAGTGGGAGGAATAATGCCCCATCATTGGTATTAGTGACACCAATGATGGGGTACTATTCCTCCCACTAACACCAATGATACTTACCTTGCTGACCCCTACTCCAGCCTGGGCTCGCTCCCTCCCTCCCTTTCCCATCTACAGCCAGCATACCTGGCTGCAGCAGCAACATCTGCACGGTACAGACACTAACCGGTCAGCTGTCTTCCTTCTCCGGCCACTCCCTCACTCGATCTTCTTTGATCTTCGCGCTGCCACTCGGCTCCTCCTCTCCAAGCTTCACCTCCTCACCGGTGAATCACTGGCGAGAAGGAGGAGCTTTTGAGTGATCACGGGGGTGTGGCCAGATGACAGGGGCGGCATGTTATCCAGCCCACACATCGCGGTCTAGGGAAATGTGGACGTATCTGCATGTGGGCAGACCCGCCTGGAGACGGATAGAGGAGCGGTGTCTTGGTTCCTAAGACCATTGGAAATATGTGTTTTCTGATGGTCTTAGGCGACCCCTATGAAAGGGATGTTCAACCCCCAAAGAGGTCGCGACCCTCAGGTTGAGAACCGCTGATCTAGGAGGATGGATAAAGAAATCCACCCCACTGACACATTGTATTCTGACAGTGGGGGCTCTCTGCTGTAAAAAATGTCCAACTTTTCCATTCAACAGAAATCGATCATTAGAGCAACCATGCATGGATCAAAAATTGGTAGGTCCCTGCTGAACTGGCCAAGTTTCAATCCATCTATGGCTAACTTTAGGAGCTGGGTGCATTTCTGAAAGATTGACAGGTATTCTTCTGTATTTACAAGGTCTCTAAAGGGATAACACATGGGGAAACGTACATAGATTGCAGAGATGTAATGCATGTGTTTTTTTTTAATTTGTCACCACATACATATTAAATGAGAAGTAGACGCGTCTAATTGATTTAGTTACAAATAAAAATTTGGACACATTTTTGGATGTATACGTATCTCTGAATTACAATAGTAATGAATTTAAACTAATCCAAAATAAATTATATTGTTGACTTGATGTGATAGTTTGGACCTTTTGTTAATGGTTGAAACATCCAAAATAACATAGCGCCATAATGAATTATTCAAATTGATTTCATTTTTATTTTGCATTAAGATTTTTCAACAACATAAAAAATGTACCATACGTGAAATGCAATCATATTGCAATAAGTACAGTAAGGTATAAAAATGAAATAAGATGATTCCTACTTACTGAGTTTGGGTTGGGGGGAGGTGGATCCATCAGAATCACCAAATCATATCATAATGAATGAATCTGAGATTAATTTTGTCCCACTCATTCTTTCGGATGCACAGGTCTCCAGTTGATATTGTCCAGTCAGCTCATTCTAGTTCTCTTTGTTGGATGGACTAGCAGGGATGACTCAGAGTGCATAAATATCGCCCCAAAATAATGAATTACCACGTTAAAATTAATATAGCCAATCTTCAGGAATAACTTCCGAAAATACGAATCTATTCAGAACAATGAATATACGAAACAAATTCAAATATGCAAATCCAATTCCAAAAGCAAGTCATTCTAACATAACAAATATAATTAAATGAAACGATTACCTTGACAAATGAATCTGAAACAAAACAAATGTTTTCTTAGTACACATCTCTAATGAGAAGGCAACTGCATGTACCATGTCTGTCAGAAATAAAAAAAAAAAACTATACTGCTCACTGTAGGATAATTTCTGCAAATCATTCCTTATTTGACCCTGGTGCAAACAGTACATTTAGAAATGTTAATGTTAATTTACAATACATAGACAGCCTAATATATTATATTTTAGGTTAGTTGGCCTTCATCAGTGCAGTGGCATGGCTTCTATGGAATGCGACTTATGCTGGGGCGGACTGACAACTCATGGGGTCCCCGGGCAATAGGGGATTGTGGGACCCCTGTCTCCTTGCCCAAACTCAAAAAAGCCTATGAAAAAGGTACCAGGGGCATCTCATGGGGCCCCCTACTGACCCCGGGCCCTCGGACAGTGCCCGAGTTTCCAAATGGTCCATTCACAGCTGGGCTTATGTATGAACAAGATGTTAAAAACAGTCAGGTTATGGTGTAGGGGCTTAAACAGACCTAAAATGTACCAGTATGAAGTACAAGGGAGCTTTATTAAAGAACGAGGTGGTATCAGAACGTTTTGAGACTAGTTTTGTATCACAAAACAAATGGCATCCACCTTCAGAAGTCAATGTACCAAAAGACATTGTCCTGTGTACATTGGGAGCTGTGCAACTGGTGCTATTCTGACCACAATCATAACCACGCCTGCTATTTCATCATGGACAGCAAGTAATACAAATAGCAAATGTGAAATTCTGCGTGAAACCCGTACACCCATGTTTTGTCACCGGTAATGATTCTCAACATGAAAAACGGGTCATCCACGTTACGCTGACAGAGTTCTTGGCAGACTTCGACGTGGTGTTCCTTGTGCTCCTGGGTCAGCAGCCTGGGGATGAACTTTCCAGCAACATGGTGCTTGTTTAAATCACATGTGAGGATTGGCTGGATTGTTCCATATAACACACTGAGAATGGCAATAATATTGTGGATTGTTCTCTGGCGATCATCAAGCACAAGTTGCTGAATGGTTTTGACATTTTCAGAGGTTGAGCTCATTGAAGGTCTGCCTGATCTCTTGTCATCTTCTAGTGAGGTTCTTCTGCTCTTGAAGCACACGTGCCACCAGGGTCAGACCGACCATTTGGAAACTCGGGCACTGCCCGAGGGCCCTGAGTCAGTAGGGGGCCCCATGAGATGCCCTTGGTACCTTTTTCATAGGCTTTTTTGAGTTTGGGCAAGGACACAGGGGCCCCTTGATCCCCTATTGCCCGGGGGCCCCATGAGTTGTCAGTCTGCCCCTGCGTGCCACTCAGAACACCTCAAACAACTCACTGCAGCATAGCCATAAACTTGCCGAATCACGTCAAATGTCTCTGTGGCAGATTCACCCAGTTTCTTGCAGAATTTCATGTTTGTTCTTTGTTCTAAATTGCTGTCCATGATGAAATAGCAGACGTGGTAGCACACTTGGTCAGAATAGCAACAGTTTCACAGCTCCCGATGTACATAGGACGATGTCTTTTGGCACCCTGACTTAGGAAGGTCAGTACTCCCTGTGACTGCATGCAGTCTTGTGCTTCCATCCATTGGTGTGGAACAAAACTGGTCTCAAAACTTTTTGATACCACCTCGTATATATGAGTTTAAAGATGGCCACACACTGATTGAAAGTCCGCTGGATCAGCAGGGGCCAGGAAAATTTTGATCAGTGTGTGGCTATCACTTCTGGAATATGCTAGAAAACTTTTCTCAGTTAGTGGCTGCAGTCAATTGGCTGCAGCTACTGATCAGTATATTCTGACAGTGGCAGCCATGGTAGGGGTTCCTCCATCGTTTTGTTTGTGTGAATGGAGGAACCTGTTAGCTTATGTCTATGACCAGTTTAACATTCATCACAAATCCAAGACATAAAGAAGTTATTATTCATTGTAGGATTGTGTGCAGATCCATGTAAGTATTCTTTAGTAATAAATCATCTACAGTGTTAAGAAAATCACCAGGGTACTTATGCTATAGGAGATAAAACCTCAAGAAACACTACAAAAAACAATGCAGAACTTGGCTAAAGTGCTAGCTACATCAATATAGCTTGATTTTAGTTTAGAAATTTTACAACGTGATAACATCCTGTGTTACATCTGTAATCTCTAACTAAAAATGTTATTAGGCTGGAAGAAAACATCCTTTATAGCCATACAGGCTGACGTTGTGTGTTTGCTTGATGTTACCCTCAAGTATAATCAGACTTCTATAATTATTTAACCAGATGGCTTTAAGTCATTTATAAAGTCATTTATACTGCCAGGCAGTATTTTCAGAATATTTTAATATGAATTGAAATTAGGCATGTGCTTCATAGTTACACTGATAAATGAACAGTATTGAAAATGTGCTTTCTGATTAAATATACAGTATATTTATTAGTTTTTAAATCCCAAGCCAAGAAGTTTAAACCACAGATTGTTCAGGAAACACTTAGTTATTTTCTAAACAATCGATCATCTGTTGCATTTTTGGGTGGTACAGCAATAGCTGGTGTGCAATCCTATCTATCCTTACAGTGTCAACACTCACTTCCACCCTACAAAACTCTGACATTTGCTTGTTCTTTCATTCAGCTACAGCCCTTAATACCATAAGCCCTGATGAAGGGGGTGCATCTGACCCCTGATATGTGGCAGCTTGTTTTATAGTGTATTTTGTTAAAAAACATTTACTTTGCACCTCTTGTCTCTAAATTATCAGTAGTTTGGTGCTCCTATAACTATACACTAAAATGTTTACATCAGGCTTTTAAAGTCATAATGTCCAGATTTATTGAAAATAATTATTAGGACAGGTAACTGAAAACTGATATTTCTGGCAAATATGGATTCTGAAGGGCTGAATCACTCAGTTATTTTAGAGGCAATATATGCCCACTGAAACACCAAAACACCATTAGACATGTTGTTTTGTTGTTTCAGTGCATACTGGTACTTTTTGTTTAGTTTTGTTTCGAATGGATTTGTTAATTGAAGAATTTGTTTTCGTCATATTCATTATCGGACTTAATTTCTTATTTTTGGCATTCATTTCATATATTCATTAGTCCGGGTAGATTTTAAACATTTTGCAGTTTTTCCAGAAGATTGCTATATATTTGATATGTTATCGAATTGGATGGAGTTGAATCAGAAGGATTCAAAATGTTCAGATGCTAGTCAAACCCACAAGAGATCTGGCATGAGCTTATTGGACAATATCAGCTGGCATCATGTGTATCTGAATTAATGAATGCTATGAAATTCTGATCCATTTTAATCCATATTTTCAAACAAATTCGAAAATTTAATTCATTTCCTCATGGGCCCATACAACTAAAAGCATCATGTCATATGATCTGAATAAAACAAATGCATTTGTCAATTTCATAACTTTTTTTTTTTCAGAATTTGTTGACATTTAACACTATATCCATTTGGAGATTTGGATACATTCTACTGGACCTGGCAGCGGCATGGAATCCTGCTGTACACATAGTGTGTGTTCCAATGTACTCTTGACTTTAACTCTTGAACTTCTGTACCTCTATACAGTATGGTCAAAGACAATAAGGAAAAAGCAGCCCAGGATCCTTGTTAAAATAAACAGTAAATTTATTCCATAAAAACAAATGAGCA